GGCCTAGTCAAAGCCCAGACTTCAATCAAATTGAGAATCTGTGGCATGAGTTAAAGATTGCTGTACACCAGCAAAACCCACCCAACTTGAAGGAGCTGGAGTAGTTTTACCCTGAAGAATGGGCAAAAATCCCAGTGGCTAGATGTGCCAAGCTTATTGAGTTGTACCCCAAGAGACTTGCAGCTGTAATTGCTGCAAAAGGTGGCTCTACAAAATATTGACTTTGGGGGGTCAATAGTTATGCACGCTCAAGTATTCTGTTTTTTGTCTTATTTCTTGTTGTATCACAATAAAAAATATTTTGCCTCTTCAAAGTGGTAGGCATGTTGTGTAAATCAATTAATACAAACCCCTAACAAATCAATTTTAATTCCAGGTGGTAATGCAACAAAATAGGACAAATGGCAAGGGGGAGAATTCTTTTGAAAGCCACTGTATAACCATTAGTTTAGTCTTGGGAGTCTTTTGTAGTGGAGGGAGCTTATGCCATTTGCGTATAGGTATACTTTAAAATGGAAAGACAAATTATCTTTATATAAGAGAGATATGTGGGAATTCACAACTTTGCAATTGATAATTACTAAACCTGAGATGCTTGACATGTCATAATATTTACTGTATTGTTAAAGCAAAGCTGAAACCCCACTGTGAAAATGTGCTAGGAGCTACAGTTTTTTGGCAAAAGCTACATACAAAGTCTCTTCTGCCAAAAAACCTTTACCTATGCTCCTAGCATTATTTCTGTTCCTATGCACTGCTGAGAATAGAGCCAAGTGGCAGTGATGATGTATCTGCTGTGCCCAAGCGTAGGAGTTGGATCATCAGTGGCCATCCAGTGGCTGAAAAGGAGCATCAAGGAACCTGAAAGAAGCAGTGGGGGAAATGGAGTTGGACAAAGTGATGATTGGAACCTGCATCTGTCACTGCTGGAAGAAGGTATCGTATGTGGCATAATGTGCAAGTTTACTGTGCGTACTTGTACATTATAGCAAAAGCCCACCACCAGTCTGTAGAATTAACATACACTTTAAATTCAGTCTGCTTTTCTATGTTATCAGCCATGTTAGACTAAACTAATTTCAAGTGTGTATACACACTCAGATTATCATAACCAATGAATAAATTATCACAATCAATGCTTTCCATTTGAGAATTGCTTGCAGATTTAGCAGTGGATGTGCCTGTATGGGTCATACTCAAGCAGAGAGTTTTCAGTTCTCTCCATAGAAAAGTTGTTTTTTGTTGCATGCGCATCAGCACTTAATGGCATCAGCTTCATCTGGCAGTCAATTGGGCAGTGCAGTTTTCATTTGCCTTTGTCTTCAATGGGTTATAGTTGTTTGTTGATATTTTGTTAATGAACCCTGTGTGCCAAAGAAGAATGGTCCTTCAAGTATTTTAAGTCACAAACCGGAGTCTTTTCATTGGGTTTGCAGTTTACTAGTCCCAACAGCTGATTATTTTGTGGTTGGAAGTATTTGTGATATCTGTTTTCAAAGCCATTGCAGACAGACGAGTCTGATGCTTCCACATCTAAAGTACAGCTATAAACACCTTCCTAAATCTTAAGAATTTTTTTTTTTTTTAAATAATCGTTCATCTTGGTCTCTCTAAGCATTCCAACTATTCTCCCTGTCATGAGCTTATCAATGGCTGGAATCTTTGTTCGGGACACTGTGAACTTGCATGTGCTTGGAAAATGTTATTAGTTTTGTGCTTAGAAGCATATTGTGTACAGTATTCATTTTGTGCTAGATTGTATATAGAAATAGACATTCTCTACCCTAATCTGAATAGCACAAAAAAGGTTATTGTTTTTGCTGAAGGGAATTGTTTATGCTGAAATGCTGAAGGGAAAAGTAAAAGGCCAAGTCCATCTAAAAATTATAGTTCAGGCAAACCTGTTTAATTAGTGACCCTTCATGATTTAATTACATGTCATCAGCAACCTTACATATTCTTAATAAAAACCTACATTCAGCAGTCCCCCAGTACCTGGTGTGGAGAACTAGCTTCAAATAGTAGAGCAATAAGGACACAGTCACTAGATTAAATCTTCTTTTTAGGGTATCCTTGACCAGTTTTCTTAAGAGAGAGGTGAGAGTTCTCAAAACATAATGCATTTGCCCTTGTAGGGGTAATTCAACATCTCTCTTCATAAAGAAACATGCATCCAGCTTCCTAGCTTTGCTCTGGCCTCCGTCCTCAAATCCTTGTCTGTGGCCTCCAGGCAGTCTTGCAAACACCGTGCTAACCTGGAGCTGCAAGGTGTGTAACTGGGTACACACCTTGCAGCTCCCAGCTGCACTGGTCTCCACCCTCCTGTCTCCCAGGTGGAGTCCTGAAATCTAGCCAGCCCTTGCACAATAAGGGCTGTGCAAAGCCGCAAAATCAGCGGGTGCTGATATACATTGAAACATGTTGAAACAGGGTTGGAGGCTGCATCTCACCCAAGTCTGTACAAAGCCTCCGGGTTTCAGGACCCTGACCAGGGTTTACCAGTCCTGGAGAAAACTGAAAAGCCAGCTTTCTCTATATGAAACACATATCCTGGAGCCCCCTCAACCTGTATGGGTGAGAACTATGTGTTACCTCTGTACAGGACACCGCGGCTGGGTCCTGGAAGGACGCTATATTTCCCCTCTGTTTGGACTGTGGTCCCTTTAAAGGATGAGACGGGGTTAACTCACCTGCTGGAGGAAGAGTGGGTTTAAACGACAGGAAGTGGTAGCTAGCAGGTGAGGAGTAGTGTGGAGGAGGTTGGAGAGTGGGGATCTGTGTACTGCTGTGAGCTTGAATGTCATTAATCTTGCTTGAAATCTGTAGACTGGGAAAGTTACCCTGGAAGTCTGGGACTGTTTAAACTGCGATTGCAGCTCTGAAATCTTCATGTCGGTGAGACTGTTCTTTTGTGTTGTACTGATGAGTTGCTGTTTGAGTTGGCCAGCTGGTCAGTGAAGATGACCTGAGTTGTTATGTTGCTGCTGTGAAGCTATTTCAGTTAATAAACTTTACTTTATTTGCAAAGCCTGTGTCCTGCGATCCTGCTGGATTCCCCTAACATTACACCTCTAATGCTTATCAAACCATGACAAGGCACAGCACCCTCACACTTGTCAGATGACTATGACATTGGTCATGTGTTCTCTCCTGAACTGGCTTGGCTGAAGGGACTGTGTATCAAAAAAAGGAATTTTTAAAATAAAATAAGGTTTTACTTTTTTATCTTTTTTGCATCTCCCTGTTGCTGATCTCCTGTCAACATGTACTCACTTCAGTAATGGCTGCATATAATTGTCCTGGACTGTCTTCCTGATAGTGACTACAGTGGACCATGCCTGCACAATTTGTGTCAACACAATCACTTTTATTGCCAACTGGGACTCATTTGACAAGGTGACAATGCAGGAGCACAATTGGGAGACAATCACAGTAACATAATTAAAGCTGCAACTTTTAACCCCTTTAGGACCACCCACCGTCAAAATCCATCCTGGTCCTGAAGCGGTTACACCAAGAACACGGCTGCTGCTGCTACAAACGTGTTCTTGGTATCATTTTAAACAGCCATCGATGGCTGTTTAGATACAAGCGATCTGCCGGATTGCTTATAAGGTGCGGCCGAATGAGTGTCCCCCTGACGCCGGCTACACCGGCTCTGCTGTCCCCTGTGCATGCCTGGGGCTGGCAAAGCGGGTCTCCCCTCACCGATCAGAGGGAGGTCAGCAAGCTTCTAGCCACTGATCTCTCCTCCGATCACTAGGGCCAGTAATCACTGTTAACACTAAACTAATGAGCAGTAAAAGGTTTTCAATTGTTCCCTATGGGAAATTTTGGGTATCATGGGTATGCATGCAATTTTAAGGCTTGATATGTTTGGTATCAATTTGCCCGACATGCCCCCATCTTTTATAATGTACCAAAAAACTGGGGATTATACTCTGTTTCTGTGCATTAAATTTCATTTTAGTGTATTGCAGCCTAAAAATACTGGTGTGATAAACATTTGCACAAATACCGTGCGACATAAGAAATTGCAACTAGCATTTTTCTATTCTATAGGGCCTCTGCTTTCAGAAAATATATAATTGTTTGGGGGTATGAAGCTGTTTTCTAGCCAAAAATTCAGATTTTATCATGTGTGTGCAAATATTAGGAAATTGCTCCGGACAGCAAGTGGTTAAAAAGATTTTTAAAAAACACTTAAGAAATTTTGCTAATGTGTTTAAGTTTTTCTGATTGGGTTGAGATTTATTTTAGAAATTACATGATTGGATGATTATTATTATTCAGGATTTATATGGCGCCAACCGTTTGCGCAGCGCTTTACAATGTAAGGAAGACATTACAATCACAATACAATTAAAGACATGGTGGTAAGGAGGGCCCTGCCCATGAGGGCTTACAATCTAAAAAGGAGGGGCAAGTGATGCATGAGGGGGTAGCTATGTGGGGATGAATTGGATGAGCTTGGGAATGTTTTTACTGGATGCAAGCATATTGTCATGTGCTTGAGGTTACCATATTTTTCCATCTATAAGACGCCCCCATGTATAGGGCGCCCCCCACTTTTCTTACCCAAAATTCAGAAATCAATATTTTCCATGCTCTTTTGCATAACTGATTACATCCAGTTTAAATTTTGCAGAGTAAGACAGCTGCTTACTGGTACCGGTATTTTTTTTGTTTTCTGACATTTTTATGGGCTCCCTGTTGCATCTGGGCACTGGCTACACGCTCTCCGTAGCATCAGCTGACGTCAGGTACATAAGGCTCATGATTGGAGGAAACCTGTTAGCTTGTCTCTGCAATCGGAAGTTTCACTCGTGAGGCTAGTTTGCAGAGGTATTGGCAGTTCGCAACAGCGGTTCTCCTCTAGGCCCCCCGTGTATAAGACGCCCCTCCATTTTTAGGTAAATATTTTTAAGAAAAAGTATAGTCTTATACACGGAAGAATACAGTACTTGAGAATTCTAAGACATGTTCACTGTCGCAGTCAGTGAAATTGTACAGCCATATGTTTATGTTGTACGTGATGTTATATAATTTTTAAATACATTTTCCATATAACTTAAAATGCATATGCAGGGGTTACCTTCTGTGAAAACATGTCAAAATGATTAGCAGATCCAGGCAGCAAAAAGAATGTGTAAATCCCAACCAATCTTGTAAATCAAATTTGGCTTTTAACCTCCTGTGTTCCCTCTATTGGTTTATGAAGCTGCCTATCATTACCTTTACATGAAAAGTTGAGCTTAGTATGCCCTGTAGCTGTATTATGTTAGAATTTCCCAGATTTGTGACATGTTTACAAAGCAGATCTATAGTGTGAGATATATTTTTCATGTTCATTGTATTCATTCTAAGTAATGTAGTACTTGGAAATGTTTTTTACCTCTCAATGTGTAAGGCGATTGTAGCCATATTAGTGCAGCATACAGTGCTTCTAACTCTCCAAGATCTGACAGTAAATTCTGCATTTTCTTCAACTCCATGAAATCAATGACCATGAAATCCATAAAATCTATAACACAGCCGTGTAAAATGCTCCAGGCTGTGTGTACACATATTAAACACAGATCAGCCCCTTGCTTCAACCTCACACCTCTGACATTATGAGTGATCAGTGAGGCAGTGGAGACTGAGAAAATGCTTACTCCTGCCTGCAGTAGACTGAGGAAATCATTCTCCCCAATTTAACTCTCAGCCTAGTGTTTGCTTTTTTTTTGTTAATAAATTTGAATCTGCAAAGTGTGACTGTATCAGGAAATTAAACTTTAAGAGTGGCTTCCGGGGCAGACCTACCGCCGGTGCAGCTAGTGCAGTTGCCCCAGGGCCTAAGGCTGGGGGCCACTGAGATCCCGTCCCGGGATTGTAGGCAGAGGGGCCCCTCAAAAAAGGCTGCTGCCTCTGCAGTGGCTATCACTTCTGTCAGCTGTCCCCTCTCTGCTGCTCTGTAGTTGCAGTGGCCGGAGAGGAGAAAAATCTGTTCCGCTGTCTCTGCTATCTGCCTGCTTCACTAATCGGGCTCCTCCGCGGCCATCTGGAGCTTCCTCTGCCCACTTCAGCTGCTATAGGCTGAGAGGGAGAGTGCAGACCTACCATTGGCCAGCTGTAGGAGAGCGAGTCCTGAAGTCAGGGGGCAAGGAGTTGGCTGAATTCTTCACCTGAGAGCATGAGGAAACAACGCTGCTCTCCCCTCCACCAGGAGAGGAAGAGGGCATGAGGGCAGAGCACTTGAATCAGATCAACTGTGTACACTGTAAGTCCCTGTTCTTTCCACATTACACTGTTGACCTCTGCACCCTGCATTACACCGCTGACTTCTGTACTCTGCATTACACCACTAACCTCTGTACTCTGCATTACACTGCTGACTTCTGTATTTTGCATTACATCACTGACTTCTGTACTCTGCGTTACATCACTGACCTCTGTACTCTAAAATTATACCACTGACTTCTTAATCTCCATTACACCGCTGATCTCTGTACTCTCCTCTCTACAGAGACTGCTGTGACTGGCTCAGTGTTCTCTGTTTAGCATTTTGGTATATGTCAGAGCAATATATATGTATAATATTAGTGTGTGACTATGGGGGGGCATTAGAGTGTAAGCTCCTTTAGTGCAGAGACTGCAGGGGGGGTTGAGGGGCCAGTGAGATTCGGGTGGGGTGGATCCCTTTGCTCTTTAGGTCCACCACTGGTGACTGCGCCATTTCTTCCATGTCATATGAACTTGAAATACTAAGGTCTCATGCACAGCATTGGGTTGCAATAATTTGTGACGTCAGTTATGTCTTTTGGTGCGCTGTGGTGCCATGCAATGCACAGTAATTACTGCAGTGCATTGTGAAGCACTACATTAACTTAAATGCACATTATTATAATTATACAGGATTTATATAGCGCCAACAGTTTGTGCAGTGCTTTACAATATAAGGAAGAAATTATAATCACAATACAACATGGTAAGGAGGCCCCTGCCCCTGAGGGCTTACAATCTAAAAGGTAGAGGGAAGTGATACATGAGGAGTTAGCTGTGCGGGGATAAATTGTTTGAGAACGTGATGGTTGAGCGGTTAGGTTGAGGCGGGATAGGGTTCCCTGAAGAGATGAGTCTTAAGGGATCGCCTAAAGGCAGTCAAAGTGGGAGACAGACGGACAGGTTGGGGTAAAGAGTTCCAGAGGATGGTAGAGACTCTAGCGAAGTCCTGGAGGCGAGCATGGGAGAAGTTGACAATGGAGCTGGAAAGCAGAAGGTCTTTTGAAGCGTGGAGGGGACAGTTAAGGTGATACTTTGAGACAAGGTTTGAGATATAGCTGGGGACAGAGTTGTGAATGGCTTTGTAAGTCATTGTTAATATTTTGAATTTTATCCTTTCGGCTATTGGAAGCCAGTGCAGGGATCAGCTGAGGGGGATTGCAGAAACTGAGCGGTTGGTTAGGTGAATGAGTCTGGCAGCACCATTCATTATAGACTGAAGGGGGGATAGCCTGTGTAGAGGTAAGCCAGTGAGGAGGGAGTTGCAATAGTCAAGACGAGAGATAACAAGGGACTCGTTTTGAGGTGTAATTTTAGATCTGTTGTGGAAGGTTTAGCAGCCCATTAAGTGAAAAAGCTTTACGCAGCACGCGTTAACATGAGACATAATGTGCGATAAATGCAACCCCGTACTATTACACTTTCATGATTTTGAAACAACTTTCTTGCAAGATGTATTTACAGATTAAATTGCCGATATATTTTGCATTCAAGTGCTCTAAAACAAATCCAGTAATACAGGAGCAAACGTTACAGTGCAATAGAACAAGAAAAAGACAACAGTAACTGGACACAGTTTCAGTTGTCTGTTGAAAAAGTAAATATTTTGAAGTGACTACCAAAAAAGGTAGTTTATATTTATTTATATAATGCCACACTCAAACACTGGCTGTAAATTAGAAAGAATAAATAATTCAGCGCAAGAACAGTCTCTTGTGAAAAGGAACAGAATTGGAAAATGTTCTACAACGAACAGATATTCTGGCGACAGTCTTGAAGACTACTTTACACATGTTGGATTAACACCATTATTTCATGTGTAATCCGTCCAAGGAAACAGTGTCTCCTTTTTTTGTCAACAAGGCATTTCTTCCTGTATCTGCTAAAAGAAACACTAATTTAGTGCAGACATCAAGTCTTGCTTTGTTTTTCACATCTTGCTTTTTATAAATTCTTCTTTTTTTTAACATCTACTTCTTTATTTAGGCCTAGAAGTTGTAAGTTAATTATCTAAATTGTTTGGGTATACTTTATTTGTAAATCACTAATTATACTGACCTGTTTAATGTGCATATAATGGCTTGTTCACACCAGGTGTGTTGAGCTGCATTGATCTGCACTAATCAATGTAGGCTTAACGCAAAGGCATATATTATTATTATACAGGATTTATATAGCGCCAACAGTTTGCGCAGCACTTTACAATATATGGAAGACATTACAATCACAATACACTTCAAGACAAGATGCATAACTTTACACAGCAATTTGTACATCTGTAGCTGTAATAGTTCCTGAGAACCAAATGTTTGAATATGGAGCTGAATATAATCACCCAAAACAAGATGGCTGCCAGGCAATGTGACCTATGACCTTTATGTTGCAAAAGATTAGTCATAAATATTCCTATTATTTTGATGCTCTTTTTTTAAAATGCTAATTATAACCACACCGTTATGCAAAAACTCATGAAATTTGGCGCAATGATAGAGAACTGTGCTGTGTTTAATCGTGGGCAACATAAAGGTCATAGGTCGCATGATCTGGCAGCCATCTTGGTTTTAGCAAGAAAACAATTGTTCTCTATGTGCTCTGTTTAAGGCCTCATTCACACAAGGCGTGTTGCCCTGAACAGCATGAAGAGCTTTTTCTTGATACACCTGGAGCTGTGGGAAGAAGCACGTGGGCAGCTCATGTAAGTCTATGGAGATGCAGGAGCTGTTCACCCTCACACACTGCTTCCTGCAGCTCCGAGTTTTGACAGCTGCATGCAGACGGTGTACGGACCTGGATCCATCATGCCTGCATCTGAGATCGTACACTGTCTGTGTGCAGCTGTTAATTATTGGAGTGTATTACAGATCACATATAGTTAACAAAGAAGTAAATTAAAGATTAAAACGTAGTTGTTTACACAAATACAAAGTGCTGCACAGGTGGATCATTAATAAGAGATTTTAGCAGTACTGAAATTGACTGGTGTGATGGCGATGTGTAGTGCTGATCATAACATTATTTGATCTGATCATTATGATATTGCCCCTAAGGTCGCAGGCTGCTGCCATTACTCCCAGCTCTTATTCACGCCGTCCACATCACTTTGTAACTGGAAAACCAGCCTGTAGCTACAACTAGTGCTGCTACCTGTCTGGGATCCCTTAAGGTGCCCATACACTGCACGATTATCGTATGAGAATCGCGGGAAATCCCGCGATCGTACAATAATCGCAAAGTGTATGGAAAGCGTGCGACCGTTTCTACTGTACGGTCGCACGTCTTCCATGGAACAAACAGGCTGGAAAACACGCTGGGAATCGTACGATTCTCGGCGAGTTAGTAGCCTGCTTGTTCGACAACTGCCGAACGGGCCGGTGTGCGCCCGCTTGCAGTCATCAGATGATCGCAAGCACGATCTGCCTGTCCAAGATGGGCAGATCGTACATTTTTCTAATTACTTTACAACCCTCGCAAGACAAAAGTCTTGCGAGGGTTGTAAACTGTATGGCCACCTTTTAGACTCTTGATAAGCTGATCACACCTCCCAAATGTTTGGTGTCATTATACTAGTTTGAAGAATCTTTTACTAATCAGTGGGCTGATCACACTGTAGATCCTGCAGTATCCCATCTAATTAAGCACTGATGATCCCTGTGCAGGATATGCCTTTTTTTAAGGATCCTATCAGATCCCGTTTGTGAAGTGTTTTGAGCTCATACCGCCAGGGCTAAACCAGTGTTTCGCAAACCCTTTTTCAGTCCTAGAGCCCTATGCAAATCATGAGGTACCCCAGTATAAAATACTAGTCCCGCTTGATTAGAAAGCCAGTCCTGATTGTGGTTCTACCCAGACATAATCAATGCGTGTAGTGCCTTGCTTCCAAGATAAACTTGTTATGATAGCATAATTGCAAGCGTGAGTATTCAAAACATTTACCTTGAGGATGGCTACCATATGACTGTATGTCCAAATGCCAGAGCTGTATTTAAGGTTTGTGTTTTCCTCGGTATGTCTGAGTGAAAATGTTTTTTATGGAGAACACAATTATTGGCCCTGCCCCATTGTTTACAACCCATTGTACGCTTGCTGTCACTAAAACTAAAATTGGTGAAATGGGATCATATATTGCTTTACTAGTTAAACTTTTACCATCACCACATTCAACTTGCTCAAATGTGATCCATTGCACAAAAGTGAAAAAGTCCAACATAACAGCCCCATCCCATCACAGATCACAGTGTCTCCTCTGACCTCTGCCTCCATTATGTAAAATCACTAGAAATTGTATCTCCTTTGTTAAAAATCCTTGCATTGTGCCATCTGGTCACGGACCCCTAAGGGCTACTCGAGTCTTCCTCAGTTTATCTCAGATCAACCTGTACCTGACATCCCCCGTCCCATCACAAATCATCCAGGATCTTATCTCTCTTCGACAATATAAACCATTCTCTGCCAAATTCCTCTGCATTGTTTACTCCTTATCTATATGTGTTTTTCTTAACCAGAGTACTGTGGCTCATGCAGCTAGTTCTTGCAACATGCTGGGAACTGCAACTAGGGAAGCTGTGCAGGCTGCCTGCCTGCGTCCTAGCAACCGATGACATCATTCATTGCTGGGACACTGGCAGCCAGCCCACAGAGTGGGCTGGTTGTTATGCTGCTAAATATCAACCACTTACTATCACCCGTGATCCACTTACCAGAATGTTGAATTTTTTTGCAAGTTTATTGCTTTTTTTTCTTCACCCCTGATAAACCCGAATGGTACCCTTGTTGAGAAAGGCTGCCTTTAAAATACTGTGTAAATAGGTTGGTGGATGTCTCCTGTCTTAAAGCTTGTATGAGTCTTCTGTCAGTGAACATACAGAGGACTCCTTGGGCTGTGCAGTAGGCATAGAAAAAGTGGTTTCTGTACATGCTTTTCAAGGGACAATGGGGGAATTTATCTAAGCTGGAGCAGACAGAACCTGGAGCAGTTGCCCAATGACAACCAATCAGCTTCTCTCTTCAGTTTCCACTTAAGATTTGAAAATGAAAGAGAGAAGCTGATTGGTTGCCATGCACAGTTGCTGCATATTTTATTTGCTTCAGTTTTTATAAATTCCCATCAATGACTTTTTGTAGCTGCCTTGCACACCCTTACTAAGTATGTCACTAGGGGTAAGAGTACTCATTTGCCCTAGCAGAAAACTAGACCTCAGGCAGGGATTACTCACCTCACCCCCTGTAGAGCTGAGTGAGAACATATTTAAGTGGAAATACATCTTCATATCTCTTACAGCCAAGGATGGTATCATCTTAGCCTCTCTTTGGATTTGCAGTTGCCATGGTGCTGCACATGTGACATGCTGCACAGCTATGACACCAGACATTCAAGGGCTTGAAAGCTCAGTTGAAAGTGGAAATGAGCCCACTGGTAACCTTGACAGTTGGCATGTCTTAAAAGAAACTGTTTTGGGAGGCAATAAATTGGTGGGTAAAATGCCTCTTTAAGGTGTATGGCCAGCTTTAGTTTTACCAGGTGGATGTGGAGGCCTCATCTGTTGCCAACTTTTGGCATAAGGTCCTTCAGGTGGCTCTTTGAGGTACAGACAGTCCCCACTTCTTTTGTTTTTAGTAGACCTGTTTGCTTCTTGTTTGCTGTGTTGCCTATCTCTTATTTGAGCTGCTTTTTGACATTCCAGTTGTCTCTGAATCCTGTGCTCTTCAATGAATGAGATAGTTGGATTTTTGTACTTATCTTAAAAGTCTTTTCTTGGCGTTCATTAGGGAACACATGTACCTCACGTGTATAGCCCAATTGTCTCCCAGTCCTGTGGCCCTCAATAAACTCCAAGAAATTGATATTTTGGTAAGTACAGTAATACAATTGTTTTTGCTCTTAGAAATTGGATGACAATTTTTAATTTTTTTTTTATTTTGCTTCCCTTTGGATCAATTGTGGGTTTGGGGATGATAATTGTTTTTTTTACTTTTCTGGTGTGTTTTTTGTTTTAGCGATAAGAGAGGGCACCATATTGACATATGATATGGTCAACAATTTACTGAGCTCTGGGGTGGCCTGTGTTAGATACCCCACATGGTGGTTGGCAAATCGGTAGATGTTGTCATACAGTCACAGCTGTACAGCGTAGAGCTTAAATAGTTATACGCTACATAATGCACACATTGGCATATAGTAAACACTCCAGCTGCTTTCAAGCTGGTCATCCTGGCATGACTGAGACTACTAGTTCATGAATAGTTACCAGAGGCTGCCCAGTCTCAAAAAACATATGCATAACTTATGAATTAAGGTATCTGTACATAACTACCTGTGTGTATTTGTCTACACATCTAGTACCTATGTATTTAGAATTTAGTGACTTTAAATATGAGCAGAAAGTATTAGAAGGTACATTACCTAAAACAAAGTTTTATGTGCCATTCACTGTATTCTGATATCTGTAATAACTATATAATGCTCTCCTCTTCAGCTTTTAGATGGTGCGTGGGGTGCTTGTGGTGGGTTTTAGAAATTGATAGTGTGTGTTACAAGAATAAGGATTACTAGAAGGAAATTGGTGGTATGGTTCGAATTTGTTCAAACCACTCTCAGATACATGACATAATATTACTAATGTTGGTAAGTATATGTTTTAAGATAAATAATACATTATTTATTTATTTTCCAGAATTGCAGCTTCTACAATGGGGAAAATGACACGGATCACCTTTCTGTGTGCCTGCTTGAAAAACGTTTGATTTCTCTGGTTGCCAACCTCCCTTGTCTGACTCTGAAACAAAATGCCTATTCTGGATTTTATGCAACATTGCATAGAACAGCCACATCTCAGTTCATAAGTGGGGCACTGCTGGAAGCAATTGCATTGTTAGGTGCAAGAAGTGGTCTTCCTAGTTTAACCTGTGGCTCCGTCGGAAGAACAATGCTAAAAGGTAAGTGTGGAGTTTATGTAAAATGAAGGTATAAACAATGGACATCGTTTGCCTAAGTATGGGTGACATTGATATACTTCATGGATAATTATGCAGGCTGTAAAAAATATCTTGCTGTTAGTATACTGTATACTTGCTTATAAAGCAGGACAAAGATTGCTTCCAATGCTATCTGTTTCTAGGAAAGGAAGTGAGGGGGAAACGTCCTAATCTGGAACACAGTCAGCAACTAAAATCAGTAGATGAAGAAGATAATGCCAATATATTGATAAAAATATATAGAAATCAACTATGCCAATAAGCAAGCTAACAGCTACAAGGCACTGGAATGTACACCCACTGTGATACGTGAAAAATGAATAACTAAATGTGCTGAGCTACAACAATGAGCAATACAAAAAAACAAACAATAAGATAATCTGTGACTCAGTGAAGTATTCAGTGAAGAAATAGTAAATTGATCAGATGTGAAGTCTGTAAATGTTCATAACTCTGAAGATGTCCATATATAAATAGCAATAGTGATGAATATTTCTTGTACTTTCGTCAAATGCACCACGTGCACCACACCAGATATAGGGGTGCTCACCTTATTGATAGACTCCAACAAAAGGTCGAATCAGGCCTTCTTAACCAGGGGAGGGGGCCCTCAGCTCCAATCGCTCACAGATGTCCTTCAATTATGTAATCAAACCAGCAGACAGATCTTTATATCACTTCTTTAGTAGGGAAACAATAACCTCCAAGTTTTATTGAACTGTAGGCCTCCTCGGTATAGGATGTCAATATCAGGATATAAGAGAAAGCAAACACCACAGCGCATACCATCCAAACAGAGTATGACTTATTAAAAGAAAATTACTCCCATGAAAGCAGTGGTAACACAACAAGGAATCTTTCTAAAGGTGGCTATACACTGTACAACCATCGCAAGACTAAGGTCTTGCGATGGTTGTAAAGTGGTTACAAAAACGTACGATCTGCCCATCTTGGACAGGCAGATCGTACTCTCGATCATCGCAAGCCCGCCCCCCTGAGGGGCGGGCTTCCGATGACCGCAATGCTGAACGGGCAGTGTGCGCTGTCTCCCGAGCACCGTTCAAACCAGCCGAAAATCGTACGATTTTCGGCTGGTTTTCTAGCGTGCTCCTTAGACAAAAGACGTGCGACTGTACAGTAGAAACGGTTGCACGCCTTCGTTCACACTGCTCGATTCTCGTACGATCGCGTGATTTCCCGCGATTCTCGTAAGAGAATCGAGCAGTGTATGGGCACCTTCAGAAGTGTATGTAGGAGTTCCAAATGACCTCGGCCATGGGTCATAAAGATTAATGTGATGTCAAATGCTCCGCCCTACATGTGTTACATCCAGAGTGACTTCATCAGGGATCAGGAGCATCTGACGTTCTAGGTCAAATATATGGTCACATCTATAATCAAGAAACACTCCCACTTACCACCATTCACTGAATAGACCAGACTGCCCATCACAAGAATGGAAACAGTCAGTATCTACCGTATTCACTCACATTCACTCACTCACAAAAACATTGCAATAAAAAAATCTATCCCCATAAGAGCAAAAATAAGAAAAAATAAATACAAATATGCAGTACACTGTAAAAATATACATCTCATAACCCCTCTATAGAAAGGAAAGGAACCCCTCTATACTGCTTTTATGTGAGTAATTTCTTTTAATAAATCATACTCTGTATGGTACGCGCTATGGTGTTTGCTTTCTCTTTTTGGATAACATGATCCTGGTATTGACATCCTATACTTAGGAGGCCTACAGTTTGATAAAGATTGGAGGTTATTGTTTCCCTGCTAAAGAAGTGATATAAAGATCTGTCTGTTGGTTTGATTACATCATTGGAGGACAACTGTGAGCAATTGGAGCTGAGGGCCCCCCTCCCCTGGTTAAAAAGGGAATTGCCTGATTTGGCCTTTTTGTTGGGGGTCTATCAATAAGGTGAGCACCCCCATATCTGGTGTTGTGCATTTGGTGAAGGAACAAGAAATATTCATCACTATTGCTGTTTATATATGAACATCTTCAGAGTTATGAACATTTACAGACTTAACATCTGATCCATTTACTATTTCTTCACTGACATTTGTTTGAGTCACAGATTCTTTTATTGTTTTTGTTTTGTATTGCTCATTGTTGTAGCTCGGCACATTTAGTTATTCAGTGCAAATATATTTTTGACAGACCAGATCTTGATAAAACTGGACTGGAAAGAAAGGGTCTGGGCAAAAAAAGTTTGGCATTCCTGGAGCTATAATTTAGTAAACAGAATAAGGTCTGCTCTGGCCACTGGTTTAGAAGCTAAACATATGTGTAGGAGTTACAGCGGCTTCTAAGGGTTGATAGTGATTTTCATATTATTCTTTCTAACATTTGTTGTCTTTGCTTGTTCTGATGGTATTATTGTACATCTGTCTTGATTGATTTTGTTCCACTAATTTGCTGCCACAAACTGAAGCAAATTACCTCTTTTCTGTTAGTGTTAATTGATACACATATCCCTCCAAAAATATTTTTGAACTTTTTAGTTGGTTTAACTATAATGCTGATTATAATGCTGATTATTTTTATGCTGTATCCAATAGGGTAATGCTTAGTTAGATCTGATCAGGGACAGTATATTTGCTTTGCATTATCTAAAGCGATTTTCAAAGATGTTTTGTTGTGTGTTCCAAAGGTTTGTATTAGCATAGTTTCCAAGATAAGCTTTGGTAATCCTTTTCTGTAGGTCACATTTTGCGGATTTGTCTAAAGGTTTTGGAAGGTTGAAGTATTTAGTAAACCAGTAAACTAGTGATCGTACCACAATTGCAATCTAAACCTGATTTTGTACTGCTATGGCTTTGAACTGAGACAACCTTTGCTCAAAATTGTCAAACGGTATGTGTATGTCCAACCTTACTCTGTATCAGCTTCACATACCCAAATGAATGCCCAATTAGTTATGACTTTTTTTCATCAAGCACAGAGACATAAAGGTAGCTTTATGTAGGTTTAGGGTCTTACCATCTGGCCTTTATCAATGCAGGACCACCTATGACATATAGATGTGTAGGAAGTGTCCTATAACAATTCAGATATGACATTAACTCTGTACAGGTCTCTCATAATATAACTACTCTCCATGGTCATGGCAATGCTGAGACCTGCCCTTTTTATCTTTATAGTGTTGCATTAGATAAAACATACTGGACTCTTGACATCTATATAAATTAAGGTTTTTTTTTTTTTTTTTAAAGGAGAACTATGATGTGAGTGCTTTTCACTCACCTCATAGTTCTAGACCTGTGACAATGAGACAGGTCGGCTCAGTAGATCGGGAAGTGAGCGAACCCATACCGGCGTTTGCTCACTGTCACGGCTCTGCCGTGACAGGGGAGGGGCTGGATTCCCCCCTCCCCGCTCCGCTCCACCAGCGCTGACTGGCGG